GCAGAACTTAAAATTGAAATAATCGAAAATCGAAACGTGAAAACTGGAAAAACTTAACTGAAAACTCGAATACATCAATGAAAATTGCAATGGAAATAAATTAACAAGAGAGACAAGAGCAAGAGTAAACACGAGAGAGTGAGAGAGATAAACTTAACATAAGACATAGACAATAATATTTCGGGAACAGCCCCTGCTGCGTCACCAGGGCCGCCAGGCGGAGCTGGACTTCTCGCTGGCTGCGGCCAGGAATTTCTTAGACGATGGTTCGTCCGACAACGAACAATCGCTAGAATCGGCCTGCTCCCGCTCCGGTTCCACCTCGCGCTCCCGCTCCCGCTTCATGCTGCCCGTCTCCTGGCCACTGGTGGAGCTGACTTGCTGCTGCTGCAACCGAGAGCTGCTGTTGTTGTTGCACAGGGAGCCGCTGGTGTCGTGGCTGGCGGCGCTCAGATTCAGGGAGCCGCTGCTGTTGAACGAGGTCTCGGCGCTGGTGGGCGGCGGCGTGGAGAAGACGCCGGCAAAGCTGTGCTGCTTGGCCAGCAGGAGCTCCGCCTGGGCAGCACTCGCTGGGGAGGCAGCGCGCGACTCGTCGCCGTGGCTCTGACTGGAGATGGACGAGATGGGGCTGAGTGGTGGACTGCTGGCGGTATTCTTGGCTGCGCCGTTCACAACTGCAGCTCCTGCTCCGACTCCTGCTACAGCTGCCTGTAGCTGGGTCTGGACAGGCGCCGCGGGCTTGTTGAACGCGCTCAGCCTGAAGCTCTGGGCGTAGTCGTTGAGATGCGTGGGATTGGCAATGCTGGCTAGCGCTGCGCTGGCGGCATTCACAGCTGCTCCCGGCGGCCAGACGAAGGGCGCCGGCGCTGGAGCCGTAGTCCCGGCTGTCGCTGTATTCGGCATGATCAGCGCAAACTCGCCCGACGGCAGGCGCGAGGGTATCAGATGAAGGCCGCCCATCTGGATGGCCGGAGCTGCCGGCGTGATGCCGTCGCGGCTGCTGTTGCTGCTGCTGTTATTGTTGTTCAGGTCCTGGGGCAGCGGCGGGAAGAGAGGCGCCGCCGCCGCAGCAGCAGCCGTGGCACCCGGAAACATAGTCGGCGGTAGTTGGCCTCGATAGCCGCTGTTGAAGTTGCTCATGGAGCCGATCTGCTCCAGGCTGTTGGCGCAGTTGTTGAGATGGGCGCTCAGGCGCTGGCGTACGCCCGGCTCGATGCCCTCCATCTGGCTGACATAGCGATTCACCTCCTCGGCGCACTCGACGAAGCCCGTCTTGAACTTGTGCACCACGCCCGGATCCGTCTGGATGGCCATGTTCAGCTGCTGGCGCTGCACCGACTGCAAATGCTTCACTGTCATCTCGAGTATGTCGGCCTTCTCCAGCTTGGTATGTCGCGCCGGCTAAAAATGGTCAGGAAGGAACAGAACAGAACAGATAATGATGAGCTTCATGTCGTTCGCAGTGGTTGGTTGGGTGTCGTTTTGGGGCTACACTCGAGACTGAGGCGCTGAGACGCGCTAAAAGTGGGGATAACAACAACTCTAAAGCAGAAGCCGCCCGGCTAATTGTTTTCGTGCATTGACCAGGACCAGCGGCAGAGTTAGAGTCAGAGCCACAGCCAGAGGCTGGCCGAGACCCTCGGACACAAGGCCCTATAGCAAGTTCAATGCATGGGAAACAAGTGAAACACGTAAGCTGGCAGCCGAATGGCAGTCATGCACTCCAAATACCCTCTACTTCAAGTAAACAAGGTCTAATCTATAGCTGATACCAATTTAGAAAAAAATGCATAAAGCCAATATGCTCACAGCTTTAAATAATACTTGAGTTGTAGAAGAAGATGAAAGTTAAAGTTAAGGTAAAGAATTATAAATGCTTTTAGCTTAAACTTTCATCTTCTTCCACAGCGCATCTACCCCTTTGGCTGTCCGTCTACAGCTACAGGGCATTAAAAGTGAATGATGCAGACGCTCAAGCACGTTTCTTGCCTCATATGTCCAACTATTTGTAATCTACCTCTGTTGCTGTTCTACACTCCACTCGAGCGAATATCACACGCCCCAAAGCCGCGCGACGCTTAAGCTCGACGAGAGGGCGACAGGGCGAGAGCGAGAGAGGGCAGCGCGAGTGAGGCAGACAGGTACACGTGAAGAGAGTGGCCGCAATCTGTTTGGCACTTCTTCTGTGTACGTTCGCTTATGCTGCTTCGGCTTCTGCTTCTGCTTCTGCTGCTGTCGCTGTCGCTGCCCGCTGGCTGCATATTTTGCAAAAGTTTCCCACGCAGGTCGCCCGCTTCGCTGAGCTGCCCTCTCCTCCCCCCTACTACTCCCTCTCGCCATTTACCACTGCTGCCGTGCGCCGTCTTCTTGTCATGTCTGCATCTTTTGTTTACTTTTGCTTTTTCTTCAATGTCTTTCTTATTTGATTTTTGGTCGTTGCCTGCAGAATTCTGCTACACTGGCGTCGGCGTTGGCGTCAGCATCGACATCAGCGTCGGCGTCGGCGTCTTCGCTTAGCTTCTATCTCATATTTTTTTTGTATGCGATTCTTCGTTGTTTTATATTTTTTATATTTTTACTTTTTTTGTGTGTCTTTCTCACAGCAGGATCCGCCGTTGGCTCCTGTGGAAACAGGTTTACAGTCTCGCTGTCTGAGATTTCTGCGTAATTTCTCGACTTGTTAACACTTTTGGTCTGACTGACTCGCCATCATCGGCAGCGTCATCGTCGGCGCTCTCTTGTAATGATCATCAATAAAATTTAATACTCAATTAAACTGTTGACTCGATTCGTTCGTTTTTTTGTTGTTGTCTTTTTTTGTGTTTTGTTTTATGTCTGCGCGTCTGTGCGTCTGTCTGTTGTAGGAGTCTTGAATCCTTTTGTACTTTTGCCGACGCCAGACACTTGAAATTTTCGAGTTTCTGATATTTATGGGTTTTATGACACCATTTATAAGGAAAGTGCACCAATCTCGAGCATAGTTTCTAAATCAGTAAGTTTCGCCCCATACTTGGATTTTTATATTTTTTCTTTTTATGTGATTTCCCAAGGATACTTACGTCTTTCTTCATTGCCTCCAGGATCAGCGATTTGAGCTCATTCAAGCAGTGATTGATGCGAGCGCGCCGCCGTTTTTCCATAATGGGTTTATTTGTCTGCAAAAGAAATGAGTATAAAGTTATTAAATTGTAATTTAATATAATTTAAATATTCAAAGTAAATTTAAATTAAAGAATTAAACAGATTTCTTGAAACTGATTAATTATTTTGACACCAAATAAAATTCCTATATGCAAATTAATATTTTAATAAAGTTTTGGGATG